TTTGGTCCATAAAAGTTCCATCTGATACAACCCGGGGTTGCAGAAAACTACTTAATCTTAGGGCACAGGCTAAAGGAATGATTCAGCATATTCTTAGTGACGGAAATGACATACATATTTGGCATGACAATTGGCATCCATTTGGGCCAGTTTTGGAGGCCTATAGGCAAACGATTATGGTTAAATACCCTTTTTTGGTCCCTCTACTATAGGAAAAAGCCCCTTTTTGATCCCTGTACCGAAAAAATCCCCTTTTTGATCCTTACTGTTCACAAATCCGCCCCTTTTTGGTCATTCCGTTAATTTTTGCTCACATGTCACGTTAACTTAACTGGAACAGCTGACGTGGGTATGCCAACATGTAAAAGATGCTTACGTGGATTTAATGATACCCTCCACGTCTCCCTTCACGTCACTCTCCCAGCACGGAAAAAGAAAAAATTACTAATTTACCCCCATCTTCTTCCCCATCCTCTCCTTCCTCTGGGCTTTTTTCTTTTTTTCTTTTTTTCTTTTTCTTTTACCTCCAAGTGAACCCAGCTCCAGTCCAGGTCGCAAACCCAGGTGTGACCTGGATTCATTGTTCATGGGTTCGTGAAGAACCCAGGCTTGGGTGGATTCATCTTGGGTTCTTGATGAACCCAGGTGCGCGTTGGGTTCTTCACAAACCCAGGACCAACCCAGCTCGTGCCTGGGTTCCCGACGAACCCAACGCGACCTGGGTGGGTCCGTCTTGAGTTCACGACAAACCCAGGTGGGCCTGGGTTCTCGTCTACATTGAGAACCAGGCGCGAGCTGGGTGGGTTCATCCTGGGTTCACAACGAACCCAAGCGGGCACTGCAGGCACTTCTCCAAAGCATTGTAGACATCTAGATTCAGCAAACTATTGTCGAAATACTCCTCAACGAGCTCAAAATCATCCCCCACTACCTCAATAATCAAATATTAGCAATTCATTAAAAACAAGAAATCAAGATTATTAGGTTCTTTTTCCTTAAAACAAAGTAGAATTTGACTCTTAATCAACTCAAAACACTCTCCAAATTCCATCTCCATATACTTCTAGCTATTCTACAACAAATCAACCAAAACTGAGCACGATTTCATAACACATTCAAAGAAAACACGATCTAAACTACATAATGCGTTTCAATCAAAAGAAAGAAGGTAAAGAACTAAAGGAAAACAAACAGAAATCGAACGAAGATCCCAGAGTTCGATCAAGAAGAAGAAGAAGAATCCAAGGCTCCTTGCGGGTTTCGCGAACCCAACAACTGGGTTCCTTGCGGAACCCAGATTTGGGACTGGGTTTGCGAAACCCAGTAGTTGGGTTCGCGAAACCCAGTAGTTGGGTTCGCGAAACCCAGTTGCTGGGTTCGCGAAACCCGCTACTGGGTTCCTCTGGGTTCCGCGAGGAACCCAGATTTGGGACTGGGTCCGCGAAACCCAATAGCTGGGTTCGCGAAACCCGCTACTGGGTTACTCGCGGAACCCAGATTTGGGTTTCATGAACCCAGGTCTTGGGTTCCTTATGGAACCCCCTTGTTGGGTTCGCGGAGGAAGAAGGTTGGGAAAGAGGAAGGGGCAGAGGGATAAGAGAAAAGAAAGGAGGAAGAAGAAGAAGAATATAATAATAATAAATTATGTGAGTTTTTATTTAAATATGAAAAAAATATCACATGAAAAAAGAAAAATGCCATCTCATCAAGTTTGTTTTAGTCCACATCATCAATTTTTTCCATGTGGCATTCTATTGATTAGCGTGTAATAACACGTCAACAATGAAAAAGAAAAAAGACAAAATATTTAACAGATTATAGTGCCACTCTGTCACTTAACTAACGGAAGGACCAAAAAGGGGTTGAATTTTGAAATTTAAGGACTAAAAAGGGGATTTTTTTGGTACAGAGACTAAAAAATGGTTTTTTCCTATAGTAGAGGGACCAAAAAGGGTATTTAACCAAGGATTATTAGAGATGCAAGTCTACCATTTCATGTGACACTTTCTGTGATAGTGAATGGCAACT